TGAAGCTGAAACTTGTTCTAAATTACAAGGAATTTTTAAAAAGTTCCATCAAGCATGCTAGAAGAAAGATAAGTTATTTTTCTTTTCTTTTTGTAGACCAAGATATTGTGAAACATGCAGCCGAAAAAGTAGGAAACGTCACAGAGGTGTGTCAGGCAGAAAATTAATAAAAACATTACGTTATCCTTTGGGATTTTGCAATGTTTGTGGTATTTGGCTCTTTTAATTTGTTATCATTTCATATTCTAAGTAAACTTTGTCAGTTTTTTTTTTTTTAACTTATTTTTCTTTCTTAAAGAGGTCCCTCCTCCTCCACCCCCGCGCTCAATTCCTTTAGCTGGATCTTTCCAATTCATGACGGATTGGTTTAAAATATGGGTTGTTCAAAAGCTGTGTGATCCCGAGCTACTGGCTATACCCCTCAGAGCCTGTTTCCTTAGTGGTAAAAGGGAAATCATAACCTTGCAGTGCTGTTATAAAGTTTAAATAAGCCAAGGCCTGCAAAATGCTTAGTGCAGGTTTGGACTGCACCGAGAGATGACAAATCTCAACCTGTGTTTATGCTGAGACATATGCCCCAGTTTCCGGAGCCTCGGCCACAATCTCCCCTTGCGCATGCACACCCGGCTCTCCTTTCCAGGCCCTCCGCACCACGTGGGCGCAGCCTACCCTCCCACAGGGGGTAATAGGCGGAGTCAAGGGGCTACTTCCGGGATTCTGTCCCATTTACTTCGGGGAACAACCCTTTTATATGACTGGCAGCATCATTAGCCAGTAGTGATTAGAGAAGAGCAAGCCTGTAGGTGCTTACCCCACTCCCAACCTATTTCGGAACGCCTCTTCCGAGTTAGCCAATTGCAAGACTTGGGGGGGCGGGTTCTCCTCTGGGGCGGGACAGAGTGACCGGAGTCTCTTTTGGCTAATGGAAACTTGGCTGCGGGTAAGCGGTGACCAATGAGAAGCAAGAACGCCGGATCCTGGGGCGGGGCTGGAGCTTCGGCAGTTGAACCGCTCACGAGGAGGGGTGCCCGTGGAGAAGGTGAGAGGCGGCGGGAGTGGCGGGTGCGCGGCTCGCAGCGGAGGTGTTAGCGGGAGGGAAGGGGGGTTCTGTTGGAGGAGAGTGGGCTGCGTTGGGCAGCTGACCCGGCCTTGTGGGAATCGGGAGGGAAGGTGCCCTTTAACAAGGGTAGGCGCTTGACTGAGGGGTTCTGAGGCTGAGCCCAGCATGTAAGTTGAGGGTGATCTGTATTTCGCAGGAGGGTCTTCAGTGGGGGAAGTCGTAAAGCAGGAGGCAGCAAATGGTAAAATATAGAGATGCCCTTGGAATGCAGCGTGGCGATTTAGTAGGTTTTAAGACAGAGGGTCAGTATAGCGCACTGTGATTTACAAGCTTCGATTTGGGTGAAAGTCGGGGGAAGAAGCAATACTGAGGGAGGGAGGGAGACCTCCAGGGATGAGGATGTACTTCAGAGATGTGAGGCCCTGTTATACCTGTGGCGTTTACTAGGTGCTGTGCACCTGCCAAATGTTTTAGGTGAATTAACTTTTAAACTTACCGTACCGATATTTAAGAATGTGGACTCTTGCGTCGGGTTGAATCCTGAATTTCAATCGCGGCTCTGCCACTGAGTGTTACTGTGGCTTTGGGCGAGTTGTTTAACATTTTCTGTGCCTCAGCTTAATCATCAGTAGAATGATCTCACCTCTGTCTATACCATTGGCTTGTTTCACCCTGTTTATCTAATGATAACTCCCAGGTGTGGTTTCCAGCCTGGATCTCTGCCCTGAACTCTAGAGTCATATCGTGGCTGACTTTTCTCTATTTGGAAGTTCATCTGACATTCAGACATAAACTTGTTCCAAACCAAACTTGCTGTTCTCTCCTTTCAGCCTCCAAACCCAGTTGATGGCACGTTCATCCTTCCAGGTACTAAGATCAAGAAGCCTGGAGTCTTCTTCACCCTTTTGTTTGACTTATACAGGGTCCAGCCATCAGCAGATCGCATTAACTCTACCTTCAAAACACATGTAGAGGCCCGGCGCAGTGGCTCACACCTGTAATCCCAGCACTTTTGGAGGCTGAGGCGGGTGGATCACCTGAGGTTGGGAGTTCAAAACCAGTCTGACCAACATGGAGAAACCCTGTTTCTACTAAAAAATACAAAATTAGCTGGGCATGGTGGCGCATGCCTGTAATCCCAGCTACCTGGGAGACTGAGGCAGGAGAATCACTTGAACCCGAGAGACAGAGGTTGCAGTGAACCAAGATTGCACCATTGTACTCCAGCCTGGGCAACAAGAGCAAAACTCTGTCTCAAAAAAACAAAGCAAAACAAAATAAACCACATCCAGAATCCAACCACATCTCACCAGCTCCTTTGCCACCTCTCTGTCCCAGGTTGTCTCTTGGCTCTTACCTGGTGTGTTGCAGTGGTCTTCTGCGTGGGCTCCCTGCCTCTCGCTGTTAGGGGGATCCTGGTAGAACAGAAATCAGATCAGGTTGCTCCTCTGTTCAAACCCTCTCCTGGCTCCCACCTTAATCGGCAAAAGTCTTCACCATATCCACAAGGACCCCCAGCTTGTTGGGTGCCTCCTTCTCCCTCCCTTCAACTTCCATCACCTCTCTCAGTTCCCTTGTTTACTCTGCTGCAGCCACCCTGACCTCCTCTCTGTTCTTTGAACATGGTGAACACATTGTCACCCCCGGGCCTTTGTACTCGCTGTCCACTCCTTTGAGATCAGGTCTCCTTAGATGTCTGCGTGGCTTCTCCCGCACCTCTTTCTGGTCTCTGTTCAGATGTCAGCTTCACAACCGGGCACTTGCTGACTACTCAGGCTAACAGAGCTCCTCTCATGTGGCTCTTACCTGGCTTTTTCTTCATAACACCAATACCTGATACAGCTTATTATTCTTACTATTTTTTTTTTTAGACGGAGTTTTGCTCTTGTTGCCCAGGCTAAAGTGCAATGTCATGATCTTGGCTCACGTCAACCTCCGCTTCCCAGGTTCATGTAATACTCCTGCCTCAGCCTCCCGAGTAGCTGGGATTACAGGCATGTGCCACCGCACCTGGGGAATTTTGCATTTTTAGTAGAGACGGGGTTTCTCCATGTTGGTCAGGCTGGTCTCGAACTCCCGACCTCAGCTGATCAGTCTGCCTTGGCTTTCCAAAGTGTTGAGATTACAGGTGTGAACCATCGCGGCCAGCCAATATTATTATTTTTATTATTATTTTTTGAGATGGAGTCTTGCTCTGTTGCCCAGGTTGGAGTGCAGTGGTGCGATCTCAGCTCACCACATCCTGTGCCTTCCAGGTTCAAATAATTCACTTGTCTTAGCCTCCCAAGTAGCTGGAACTACAGGTGTGTGCCACCATGCCCGGCTAATTTTTGTAATTTTAATAGAGACGGGGGTTTCACCATCTTGGCCAGGCTGGTTTCGAACTCCTGACCTCAAGTGATCTGCCCATCTCGGCCTCCCAAAGTGCTGGGATTACAGGCATGAGCCACCGCGCCTGGCCTTCGCTTGGATTATTGTTGGTTTATATCCACTGGGCTTCTTGGACCTCCACACTAGAGTGTTTGGCTCTATGTGAATATAGAACCTGGCACCTGGAAGAGCACATGGTGCGTACAAAGTGTTGTTTCTCCTATACCATCCCACCACCTTTTGGGGTCTCCCTGTGGTGTGGGGCAAGATTTCTGAGCTGGGAGGGTCTTGTGTCAGGTGGTGGGGTTAGAGGTCAGGGAATAAACTGGACAGATTGTGGTGCCCAAGGGTAGAAGGACCCTTTAGTGTCTGAAGGAACCTGGAGGAAATGCAGATTCTGGGGCCCACCCCAGGGTTTCTGCTTATGTATGTTTGGGACCCAACCTAGGAAGCTGCATTTTCATAAGCACCTGTTGTAAGGATTATGTTCCTTGGCCATCACTGTGGGAAACATGGCTAGGCTGGTTCAGACTTTGGGCTGGAAGGAAACAGCTCTCTTATCCAGCTCCTTCCCTGTGGCTGATGCTGTGCTGGGCGGTGCTGCGGTGATTGAGATAGCTCCTGACCCAGCCTGGGAGTCAGGGAGGGCTTCCTGCAGGAGAGGGCATTGGAGCTGAGACTTAATGAGCTAAGGGGAGAAAACCTTAGCTGTATCCCCAATGCCTTGAACCCGATTTCCTGGAATCTCCCATGAAATTCACGAGCAGTCCCTGAAGATACAGGGCTCTGCCCTCATGGGCTCATGGTTTGTCAAATAATCAGCAGATCACACAGATGGTAACAGGGAGTGCCAGACACTGTTTGAAGCATCTTATATACATTGAATAATTTAATTCCACAACAACCCTATAAGGTAGGGGCTCTTATCCCACTTTACTGATGGGGGAAGGCCCAGAGAGGGCAAGTATCTTGCCCAAGGCCACACCAAGGGTAAGTGCAGCTGGGATCTGAACCCGGAAGTCCCCAGCCTGCAGCACGTGCCATGCTGATGCTGTGAGGCCACATTTGGGTTAGTTCTGGGAGGAAACAGGAGGTGGTCAGGGAAGGGCAGCTGAGTGACAGGAAGGAGAACACATGCTTCTGTCCTTCATTGCGGGATCCTAGACAAGCCTCAGTTTCATCCGCTGCATAATGGGGCTGGTTATAGTACCAACCAGAGAGCAGAATTTGGGGTGAGTCATTCATTGGATTGGTAAACGTGCATGGTCTTTAAGGCAAAATGTCGTTTTATTGTGTGTGTGTGTGTGTGTGTGTGTGTGTGTGTGTGTGTTTTGTTTTGTTTTTGAGACAGAATTTATTGTCCAGGCTGGAGAGCAGTGGCACAATCTTGGCTCACTGTGACCTCCATCTCCCAGGTTCAAGCGATTCTCCTGCCTGAGCCTCATGGCTAGCTGGGATTATAGGTGCCTGCTCCCATGCCCGGCTAATATTTGTATTTTTGGTAGGGACAGTTTCTCCATGTTGGTCAGGCTGGTCTCGAACTCCCAGCCTCAGGTGATCCACCCTCCTTGACCTCCCAAAGTGCTGGGATTACAGGCGTGAGGCACCGTACCTGGCCAGCAAAACATCTTTAAGAGATAGGGTGAGAGAGTCTGGATCCCCCAGGGGGAATTGGGGTACGACAGTGTGCCCCATAGAGATTGCATTGCTTGGTTCCCCAGAGGGCTTTTGTGTCTCTACATTCCATGGGGACAATGTGGAAGGCTTTGGTCTGTATTCTTGCTGTGAAGGGGAGTTCTGTGCAGTCTCAATTCACTCACGTGGTAGGGAGGTGAGGTCAGAATGGGGTCGGGAAGGAGATCATCCCAGTCAGGCAATGAGTGGGAATGTGGGGCTGAGGTCTGCTGCAGGGGAGAGCCCAGCTAGGGGATGGCTGGGCTGGAATATGTGTTGGTGGTGGTGGGAGCTACAGAGTGTGGGGAAAGAGCCATCCGGTGGGGCTGCCAAGGGTCGTGATTTGCCCATGTCTGGTATGGGAGGTAGTGATGGAGATTTGTCTTTGGGAAGCCCGGCATGGAGAGTTTTCAGCTCCGGCCCTGGGTGAGAGCTGTGAAATCTGTGAGGAGAGCCATTTGGAGGGTGGAGCCAGGGGCGATGATGTAACCCTGGAAAGGAAAGGGGTCATCCTAGTGAATGATGAGAGGGAGAGAGCTGGGGGCTGACACACTGAGTGTGAGTGTGCCGGCGCTATGACGTCATGGGGCTCGAGAACTGGGTCAGGTGTGTCGGCCAGGATGAGGCCTTGGGACAGCCGCACAGCGCTCGCAGGGATGGGGTGGTGACGTCACGGGTTGGCGAGGGCGGGGCCTCGAAGGCACCGCTGGGCTGCGTGAGGTCAGGAAGGCGGCAGAGGCTGAGAAGAGCTGGGAGAGGCTCGGGACTGGAATGAAATCGGCCACCAGGATGAGCCACTGGTCACGAAGCAAGGATGGAGGATGCAGGTAGGACAGGGTCAGCGGCGGGAGGGGAGCTGGGGCTCAGGGTCTGGGGAATCTTAGAAGTGGTGGTGGTGATGGGGTGAGTGGGGAGGAGGGGTTGCTCAGAGAGGGCTCTCTGAAGGGAAGAGCGGTGGAAAATGTGTGTGCGGGTGGAGTCGGGGTGGGGGATGTGGGTTTACAAGCAATTTGGGAGGGAACAGAATCCAGGTGAAATGGGGAGTGATGGAATGCAGGCTGAAAGTGGGTGTGTGGAATAGAACCTTTAGCAAATATGCGGGCAGAATGCAGGTGAAATAATGGGATGCACTGAAGTTGAGTATGCGGGACCCCTAGGAGAGCGTGGGTGGGTGGTGTAGGGAGGAAAGTGCGGCTGCCCTCCCCCCCCCCCCGCTCCCAAATCTGGGAGAGTGGGATCGTATGAAGGGGCTTTGGACGGGAGAGAGGGGGCTGGTTTCTGGGGAATGTAGCACGAGGGTTGGGCTGGAATATATGGATTGAGAGGTTCTGTAGAGAAGAAGGGAAGAGGAACCTAGAATCCTGTGGTCGTCTGGGGGACAAGTGATGGGCAGCTGGGGTCCGGGGGGCCGTGTGGAGCTGGCACGGGCGTGGGATTTATTCCATTAGCAGTTACTGAGCGCTTAGGACATGCCTAGAGGAGGGGGTGGGGTAGGGCAGCGGGCGAAGTTTGTGAAGGTGAGAGAGGTGTGAGTGTGCAAGGCGGATTGAGTTGAGGCAGAGTATTTGGGGGCTCAGTGTCTGGGATAAGGGCGGGGTGAGGGCTAAGCACCAGGCCCTGGGACGCCGAAAGGGGCTGCTATTCGCGGGGTGGGTATGGGGGGTTTCTGCCAGGCGGTGGGGAAGGGGGAGTTGGCGGCGGGGATGTGGTGTGGTGAGCCCCCTTCCTCTGGTCTCCCAGGAGCTGGGGATCACGAGTGGGGGTGGTGATGCTGTGTGGCTCCTCAGGTGTTCAGTTCCGCGAGTGCCTCCTACGCCTTGGTAACCGGGATGGCGCCGCCGCTGATTGGTTCTGGGAGCAGAAGGGGTGGGGTTCATGGGCGGGGTTTAGGACACCCAGTGGGGCGGGGCCGGCGCTGCCACGCACTGCGCTGGGGTCTGGGGCTGCGGGATATGTTGAAACATGCGGCGATTTGTTTGCAGTGAGATCGAGATTATTATTATTATTTTTTTTTTCTGAGGCGGAGTCTTTCTCTTGTTGCCCAGGCTGGAGTGCAGTGGCACCATCTCGGCTCACTGCAACCTCCGCCTCCCAAGATTCAAGTGATTCTCTCACCCCAGCCTCCCGAGTAGCTGGGATTACAGGCGTCGGCCACCACGTCCGGCTAATTTTTGTTATTTTTAGTAGAGACGGGGTTTCAACATGTTGGCCAGGCTGGTCTCGAACTCCCGCCTCTACCTCCCAAAGTGCTGGGATTATAGGCGTGAGCCACCGCGCCTGGCCGAGATCGGGATTATTAACCTGGGCTTCATAACCACCAGAGAATGAAAGCACATTGTCAGAGAGTGAATTTTCCAGGGGAAGGGGGTGTCTGATTTCATCAGCCCTTCCAAAGCACCCTACTCCCAAATATAGTTAAGAGCTGTGATGTAGAGACGAGGTGTCTGTCAGGATGTCTAGGGCCCAGGCCATTGCCCTTGGGCCTCTGAGAAAAAAGATCTGTAGATGGGCCTTGGGGTGGTAATTGGGAGCCCCTGAAATGAACTTGCAAAAGGTTGGGGGACCATTCATTTATCTGCTGAAGGCTCAGAGATTTCATTAGATTCTCAAAGGCTCAAGGTTAAAAATTCCTTACCTGGAGTTTCAGGGCTTATCTTTTTTTTGGCTCATAATATTATATTTTCTGGTATTAGACTTTATTTTATTTTATTTTTTGAGACAGAGTCTCTCTTTGTTGCCAGGCTGTAGTGCAGTGGCACAATCTCGGTTAGTGCAGTGGCACAATCTCGGCTCATTGCAACCTCTGCCTTCTGGCTTCAAGCGATTCTCCTGCTTCAGCCTCCGGATTAGCTGGGATTACAGTGATGGGCCACCACATTTGGCTAATTTTTTTTGTATTTTCAGTAGAGACGGGGTTTCATCACCATGTTGGCTAGGCTGGTCTGAAACTCCTGACCTCATGATCAACCCGCCTTCCCTCCCAACCTGCTGGGATTACAGGCACGAGACACCGTACCTGGCCTACTCTGACTCCCTTTTAAAAGCTTGGCTCATCTTACTCCAACACCTCCTGTCCCTCTTTCCAGCTTGACTTTTCTCCACAAATGTTTGCTGAATGAATGGATGAATGAATAATAAATATATAATGAATATAAGACTTAATAAATTAATATTAACCATGATTCTTCTGTTGGCAATCATGTATTTCTTTTCTTTCTTTTTTAAATTGAGTCAGAGTCTCACTTTTTCACCCAGGCTGCAGTGCAGTGGCAAGATTACAGCTTACTGCAGCCTCCGCCTCCAGCCTCCAAAGTAGCTGGAACTACAGGCGCGTTCCACCACATTTGGCAATTTTTTTGTATTTTTAGTAGAGATAGGGTTTCACCACATTGCCCAGGCTGGCCTTGAACTCCAAAGCTCAAGTGATCCTCCTGCCTCAGCCTCCCAAAGTGCTGGGATAACAGGTGTGAGCCACTGCACACGGCCCAGCAATCATGTATTCCTAATATCCAGCATATGCTGGACACAGCAGCCTGCAGGTCACAGTACCAGGTGCTTTTATTCATGTTGCCCAGTGTAATCCTCACAAGTCCACAAGGTTGGTGCCATTGTTATACCCATTTTCCAGATGAGGAAACTGAGGCACAGAGAGGTGAAGTCGCTTTCCCAGGATGCCACAGCTGGTAAATGATGGAGCCAGGATATGGGGCCTGGCCTTCCCACTCATGAGCCTGGGCTCTCAGCTCCTCTGGGTTTCTGTCTCCAGCAACGTTGGCCATGGACCAACCGGCTGGCCTGCAGGTGGACTACGTCTTCCGGGGTGTGGAGCATGCCGTGCGGGTGGTGGTTTCCGGGCAGGTGCTGGAGCTGGAGGTGGAGGACCGGATGACAGCTGACCAGTGGCGGGGCGAGTTCGATGCCGGCTGTGAGTGTGCCTGCCTGGGGTGGGCTCATCTCTCCTCTCCTGGGATCAGCTTCTCCCAGATGAGGCCACCCTGAATCCTGCCCACCTGTCTCTTCTGTCACTGGAAGCTCTCCAGTGTCGGGAGGGGTGTAGGTCTCACTGCTCAAGCCAGAGACACTGCAGTCGGGGAGAGTTGGAGAGCTTAGATGCGTTGCCCTGGGGCTGGGCAAGCGGTCAGACCTCAGGAGGGACTTTTCTCCCCACCCAGTCATTGAAGATTTGACTCACAAGACAGGGAACTTCAAACAGTTCAACATCTTCTGTCATATGCTGGAGTCAGCCCTCACTCAGGTAGGACCCGGGCTGGTGGGTGGGGGTGGGAGTGGGTTCTGTCTTCCAGATTCCTGGGGGGTCAATGCCCATCTGATGTATATAAGACCCTCTACCTTCTCTTTCATTGCAGGAACAGGGAGATCATTTTCTTCTTTTGCCAAGTGTAGATGGTTCATTTTTCATTTAATGATAGTTATGTAGAAAATTCAGGTCACAGAGAAATATGAAGACCAAAGTTATCACTACACCCCTAATACTCGCTTCCGTTACTATTATGGTGAAAATCACTCCAGCCGTTTCTCCGTGTCTGTATTTGTTTCTGAGAGAGTGTGTGTGTGTATGTGTATGTGCGTGTATATGCATTTGCAGACCTGTAATTATATATAGTTTGTATATTCTCCAAGGTATTCTGCAACCTACTTTTGATTATTTGTTTTTTTGTGTTGGAGTTTTGCTCTTCTTGTCCAGGCTGGAGTGCAGTGGCACGATCTCAGCTTACTTCAACCTCCGCCTCCTAAGTTCAAGCGATTCTTCGGCCTCAGCCTCCTGAGTAGATGGGATTACAGGCACATGTCACCACCCCCAGCTAATTTTTTTGTAATTTTAGTAGAGATTGGGTTTGGTCATGTTGACTAGGCAGGTGTGGAAGTCCTGACCTCAGGTGATCTGCCCTCCTTGGCCTCCCAAAGTGCTGGGATTACAAGTATGAGCCACTGTGCCTGGCCTGCAACCTGCCTTTAAAGGATTTAACAGTATTTCATAAAAATGTAGTCATATCAGTGAATATAGCCATTCATTCATTTCATTTACTGAGCATTATCAGTGTGCCAGCCATTGTTGGGGACACTGGGGATATGGCAGTGAACAACAGACAAAATCCCTGTCCTCATGAGGCTGACATTTTAGTGGGAGAGACAGACAGGTGAAAAAATATATAATGTCAGGTACTTTAAAGTGGTTTTTTTTTTGAGTTGGAGTCTTGCTCTGTCATCTAGACTTGAGTGCAGAGGCGTGATCTCAGTTCATTGTAACCTCTACCTCCTGGATTCAAGTGATTCTCCTGCCTCAGCCTCCTGAGTAGCTGGGATTATAGGCACACACCACCACACCTGGCTAATTTTTGTATTTTTAGTAGAGACAAGGTTTCACCATGTTGGTTAGCCTGGTCTCGAACTCCTGACCTTGTGATCTGCCTCAGGCTCCAAAGTGCTGGGATTCCAGGTGTGAGCTACCGCGCTCAGCCAGAAGTTTTTGTTTGTTTGTTTGTTTTGAGAGAGAGTCTCACTCTGTCTCCCAAGCTGGAGTGCAATGGTGCAATCTCGGCTCACTGCAACATCTGCCTCCTGGGTTCAAGCGATTATCCTGCCTCAGCCTCCTGAGTAGCTGGGACTGCAGACATTTGCCACCACACCCGTCTAATTTTTGTATTTTTAGTAGAGATGGGTTTCATCGTGTTGGTGAGGCTGGTCTTGAACAACTGATCTAAGTGATCCACCCAGTTTGACCTCCCAAAGTATTGCGATTTCAGACGTGAGCCACCACGCTCAGCCTAAAAGTAATAACTGGGGAGAGGAAAGCAAGTTAGTACTTAGAGTGACAGGGATGGATGGTATTTAGATATCTTTTTTTTTTTTTTTTTCCAGACAGAGTTTTGCTCTGTTACTCAGGCCCAGTGGCCCAGTCTTAGCTCACTGCATCCTCCACCTCCCAGGTTCAAGTGATTCTCATGCCTCAGCCTCCCAAGTAGCTGGGACTATAGGTGTGCCTGCCATGCCTGGCTAATTTTTGGATTTATTTTTTTGAGACACCATCTCTGTCGCCCATGCTGGATGGAGTGCAGTGGCCTGATATTGGCTCACTGCAACCTCTGCCTTCTGAGTTCAAGCGATTCTGGTCCTTCAGCCTCCAGAGTAGCTGGAATTACAGGCACGCACCATCAGGCCCAGCTAATTTTGTATTTTTAGTAGAAACGGGGTTTTGCCGTCTTGGCTAGGCTGGTCTTGAGTGATCCACCTGCCTCGGCCTCCCAAAGTGCTGAGATTACAGGTGTGCACCATCTCACATTTCTTAAAGGTTAGTTGCAATGTGGAATCGGAAACTTCATCAATGAACTTTTTGTTACATTAAATTTCACTGACTTATTCTATATTTTGTGTGGATTTTTTTTTTTTTTTTTGGATGAAATTTGGTTCTTGTTGCCCAGGTTGGAGTGCAATGGCACAATCTTGGCTCACTGCAGCCTCCGTCTCCCAGGTTCAAGCGATTCTCCTGCCTTAGCCTTACGAGTAGCTGGGATTACAGGCATGTGCCACCATGCCTGACTAATTTTTGTGTTTTTAGTAGAGACGGGGTTTCTCCATGTTGGTCAGGCTGGTCTCGAACTCTCGACCTGAGGTGATCTGCCCGCCTTGGCCTCCCAAAGTGCTGGGATTACAGGCCACATGGATCTTTTTTTACCTGTGGATGATTTTGTAACCTCATGCACTGGTCATTTGGAAAATACTGTTTCACCAAGTTGTGCAGATTTTTCGAATGTTAACACATTTCCTTACTTGATATCCTCAAGTCAGATTTGTTAATATCCTCACCCATCTGCCCAGGAAAGTCTTTGAACACCGAGAAGCTATCAAACACCCAGTGGAAGACAGAAGTTTTCCAAAATTCTAATTTTAAGTACAAAGCTTGAATTTGATTATTGGCAAGACATCCCGTCAGCTGTTTTTCTTGAAGTGACAGGCTCACTTTGTTCATTTCTGAGAAAATGTCTGCCAGATAGCCCGAGTCTAAATAACCATAGTTTTGTCTGTCAGTCGTTTTTTTCCCCAAGTAAAAATAGTGTTCCATGAAAAGCGGCTAATGTAACTCACAACTCAGTTGCACAAGCGCTTTTTCCTGAGACCGTCGTCATACTTCGGCGTGTACAGAAGTACTTTGTGCACTTGCAATTTTCTTGCACAGCATAATAAAGAGCTGTGTCCCCTAGGGGCAGGATTCAATATAATTAATAACTTTTACTGATTCATCAAGAACATTCCGATGTTTCATTTCCTGTGTTTTATTGTTGATTTGCTTATTGTTTGTTTATTTCTCTTCCCCAGCCCCCAACTGAGACGGGGGAGATACAGTAACCTCCTGTACCATTCCGTGCCAGGGCTTGATTTCTGCTAAGGCACCAGCAGTTTTTCCCACCATTGCTTTTGTAGCACTCACACACATGTCAACACAGTGAAAAAGACAAATGATGTCTTTGTATTATTGTGAAAGTAGCTTTGGGCCTGGTTCGGTGGCTCATGCCTATAATCCCAGCACTTTGGGAGGCCGAGGCAGGCAGATCACGAGTTCAGAAGTTCGAGACCAGCCTGGGCAACATGGTCAATGTCTCTACTAAAAATACAAAAGCTAGCTGGGTGTGGTGGTGGGCCCCTGCAGTCCTAGCTACTCAGGAGGCTGAGGCAGGAGAATCGCTTGAACCTGGAAGGCGGAGGATGCAGTGAGCCAATATCGTGCCACTGTACTCCAGCCTGGGCAACAGTGAGACTCCATCTCAAAAAAACCAGAAAGCTTTGACCTCAGTGGAGATCCCTTAAAGGGTCTCAGGGATCCCCCAGGGATCTGCAGACAGCACGTGGACAGTCACAGGTCTAAGCCGTCTCTATGATCGAGCATTTAGGTTCTTTCCGGGTTCTCCCTTCGAGGAAGTCCTTGTGTCAGCCCCGGGACAGGGACATGTTGTTCGCCAGCTTTGCATAGGAAAGCCTAGCCCGCCGAGAGAACGGGAAGGGCTGTGGCCCAGGTGTGTGCTAGCTGCCCTCAGTGTGGCGGTGGCGGGTGCTGTGCAGCCCTTCCTCTCTTCTCCCGACAGAGCAGTGAGTCAGTCACTCTGGACCTGCTGACCTACACAGACCTGGAGTCCCTGCGGAACCGCAAGATGGGGGGCCGCCCGGGCCCTCTGGCCCCCAGATCGGCCCAGCTCAACTCCAAGCGCTACCTGATCCTCATCTACTCCGTGGAGTTTGACAGGTGGGGAGGAGGAGCAGGTTCCAGGGCCAGGCTGGTGGGTGGGGTGGGACAGGATGTGGGGAGACCTTCGCAACCCCTGGCACCCAAGGCAAGGTGACATTGGTTAAGCCTTGCCTTTGGAATCTTCCCTGTTGGGGTCTGTATCATTTAGTATTGTGTCTGGCTACAAGCAGCAGAATAGCCATCACCAGTGCCCTAAACACACAATACATCAAACAAACAACACATCACATAACAAGACGTCTAGGTAGGTGGCTGCCACTGTGCAGCAGTTCCACCAGGGACTCAAGCTCTTTGTTTTTTGTTGTTTTTCCTCCTTTGCAATCATCAATGTATTCCTTTTTTTTTTTTTTTTTTTTTTTTTCAGACAGAGTCTTGCTGTCACCCAGGCTGGAGTGCAGTGGTGCGATTTCAGCTTACTGTAGCCTCTGCCTCAGCCATGTTCAAGCGATTTTCATGCCTCAGCCTCCAGAGTAGCTGCGATTACAGGTGCCCTCAACCACGTCTGGCTAATTTTTGTGTTTTTAGTAGAGACGGGTTTCGTCATGTTGCCTGGGCTGGTCTTGAACTCCTAGCCTCAAGTGATCCTCCCACCTCAGCCTCTTAAAGTCTTGGGATTACAGGCGTGAGCCACTGTGCCTGTCTTGGCTTTTTGACTTCGTCTTTATCTCTTCATGGTCACAAAATAGCTGCTGGATCCCCCAGACATTGCATCTTTATCAAGGCAGGAAGAAGAGGGACAGGCCTGAGTTTGCTAATTGCATCTGCTGGTTTTATCAGGAAAATAAAAGTGTTCCATGCCTGTAATCCCAACACTTTGGGAGGCCAAGGCGGGCGGATCATGAGGTCAAGAGTTCGAGACCAACCTGACCAACATGATGAAAACCCGTCCGTCTCTACTAAAAATACAAAAATTAGCCTGGCATGATGGCGGATACTTGTAATCCCAGCTACTCAGAAGGCTGAGGCAGGAGAATCTCTTGAACCTGGGAGGTGGAGGTTGCAATGAGCTGAGATTGCACTCCAGCCTGAGTGACAGATTTTTTTTTTCCATCTCAAAAAAAAAAAAAAAAAGTGTTCCCAGAAGACTCCCAACAGATTTCCTGTAATATTTGGCCAGACGGGCGCTGTGGCTCAAGCCTGTAATCCCAGCACTTTGGGAGGCCGAGGTGGGTGGATCACGAGGTCAAGAGATCGAGACCATCCTGGTCAACATGGTGAAACCCCATCTTCACTAAAAATACAAAAAATTAAAAAAAAAAATTAGCTGGGCATGGTGGCACGTGCCTGTAATCCCAGCTACTCAGGAGGCTGAGGCAGGAGAATTGCCTGAATCCAGGAGGCGGAGGTTGCAGTGAGCTGAGATCACACCATTGTACTCCAGCCTGGGTAACAAGAGTGAAACTCCATCTCAAAAAAAAAAAAAAAAAAAAAAAAAATTTGGCCAGAAGTGGTCACATGCAAGGGATGCTGGAAAAATGAATAGCTGGCTTTCTAGCCTTTATAGGAGGAGGCAGCAAGGGAGTTGGGAATGGCCCTTGTGTAGCTGGGTGACTGTGTCTGCCCCATGTGTTAGTGGCCCCTGGATTTCATACTGGGATGTTACCAATCCCCTGTGAATAGTATCTCATGGGGCAGTTAATCAAGATGCCCTCCCTTTCCCCAGCCAAGCTGGGGTGACCCAGGCCAGGCCAACCTGGATTCCCCACTGTGGCATCTGAATTAGGATTGTATTTGCTTGCAAGTAACATGATACCAGCATTCCCTTCATCACCAGCATGCGACAGGGAAGTTACCCCAGGCTACACCAGGGCTGACAATCCTAGTGGTCCCCAAATTGCTATATAAGAGGCTTTCAGAGGTGGTGACTGGAACAAGGGATCTGGGGACAGAGAGGGGCCTTGAGGCTGTGCTCAGAACTTAAGCCTCTAGGACAGTACCATTTCTGGAATTGTGTGTTTTTGTATGCTGTGACTCTCAGAGTCTGGTATTTACCCTTGGGTGCATTCTTGACCTCTGAGATGCCATGGTTCTAATCCTACCTCCTCAGGATTCACTACCCGCTGCCCCTCCCGTACCAGGGCAAGCCAGACCCCGTGGTTCTGCAGGGCATCATCCGCTCACTGAAGGAGGAACTGGGCCGCCTGCAAAGGCTGGGCGGCCAGGACACTCGGGAGACCCGGGAGACCGAGATCTGGCACCTGCGGGAGCAGTGAGTCTTGGATGGGTGGGCAGCTGGGGCGGGTGGGTGCCCTCCCATCATGCACCACGGGGCCCATGCTCAGCCCTGTGTCCCTCACCCAGCATGTATTTATTCTTTTCTTTCCTTTCGAGGCAGAGTCTCACTCTGTTGCTCAGGCTGGAGTGCAGTCATACAGTCTCCGCTCACTGCAGCTTCCTCCTCCCAGGTTCAAGTGATTCTCCTGCCTCAGCCTCCTACATAGCTAGGACTATAGGTGCTCACCACCAAGCCTGGCTAATTTTGTATTTTGGTAGAGATGGGGTTTCACCATGTTGGTCAGGATGGTCTCAAGCTCCTGACCTCAAGTGATCTGCCCACCTTGGCCTCCCAAAGTGCTGGGATTCCAGGAATGAGCTTCCACGCCTGGCCTCTGAGCCTCTCTTCTGCACCTGCTTTGTGCTGGGTGTTGCTGGGGACATAGTAGTGACCAAGACTATCCTGGTACTGCCCTCCAGGGACTCTCAGTCCAGTGAGGGAGGCAGATGTGTTTGTAGACAGTGAAAGGCTCAGAGTGGGTGGGGGACCTGACCCTGCCTGCTAAGGGAGGGAGGGGTGTTCTTGGCAAAGGGAGCCGCATGTGCAGAGGTGTGGGGGAGGTGGAGCTGTATGCAGGTGAATCCATCTTCATGGGGTGTCTCTTTTGTGCTAGCCCCTCCCTGCCACTCATGTAGTACCTGGCCCTGGGGGAGATGGATGCTAATTACATAACCACCTGAGTATATCATTGCAGACGGAGGTGGGTGAGGCAGAAAGGGAGCCTGTGCTGTGGGAGGCTGTCACAGGACCCCACTGGGGTGTGGGGTGGGTCAGGCACAGGGTCTGGGGAAGAGTGTTGTAGGCAGAGGGAACGGCATGGGCAGAGTCCTGTGTTTGGTGGGAATGTGGTGAGAACAAGAGAATGAATGAAGTGAAAGAAGCAAAGGCTTTGGACGTATATATTCATGCCTGCCACATGCTTGGTTCTGTTGGGGAGATGAATCTGGGACTTGATCTCTACTGGGAAAAGGCCTGGCTCATTGGGGAGGGCAAATAATATTTTTAGTAATAGTAATACCAGTAACTAATAATTAGCAATAATAATACTGGTTCAATAATACAGTTACTGAACATTTAACTGTATGCCAGGGCTGCTCTGTGCTTTATGATTGGATTCATTTTATCCTCACAGCCACCCTACAAAGGAGGCACTGCTATTATCTCCATTTTATAGAGGCCCAGAGAAGTTAGGGAATGTGCCTCAGGTCACACAGTGGGTGACATGGCCAGGCTGGACCTTAGATCCAGGCAGCACCTTCGAACCTCTGTTGATTCCCCAGCTCTATGCACTGCTGGTGGCTGCAAGCCCAGGACAGAGTGAAAAATGCTGACGGGAGGACCAGTCCTTATGGGAGCTCATGGGGCTGAGGAACCCCGACGGTCTTCCTGGAGGAGCTCGCCTGTGTACTGCTGGGCCGAGGAGGGCAGCAGTGGAGAGGCCAGAATGCACAGTAGCATAGGTTTCATTCTCGGTTTATCCTCAAGATCTGCTCTGGTGGGGGCCCAGTCGAGGGTGGAGGGAAAGAGTGTGTTTGTGTGTGTGTGTGTGTTTCTAGGTTTGTGTTTATGGGTGTGTGTTTCCCAAGATGGCCACAGGGTGGCGCCCTCCACCCTTAGGACCCAACCACAGTAGCCTTGTGGGGGGTGTGTGTGTGTATGTGTGTGTGTGTCTAGGTTTGTGTTTATGGGTGTTTGCTTCCCAAGATGGACACAAGGTGGCGCCCTCCACCCTTAGGAACCAACCACAGGAGCCTTGTGTGTACGTGTGTGTGTGTGTATGTGTGTCTAGGTTTGTGTTTATGGGTGTTTGTTTCCCAAGATGGCCACAAGGTGGCACCCTCCACCCTTAGGAACCAACAGGAGCCTTGCTATGAGTGTGTGTGTGTGTGTGTGTGTGTGTGTAGGTTTGTGTTTATGGGTGTGTCTTATCAGAGAGAGAGAGTGTGTGTGTGTTTCTGCGTTTATGTTTGGGTGTGTGCGATCAGAGACTGTTTCTAGGTTTGTATTTATGGGTTTGTGTGATCAGAGAGACTGTGTGTGTGTGTGTATGTGTGTGTTTCTAGGTTTGTATTTAGGGGTTTCGGCGATCAGAGAGACTGTGTGTGTGTGTGTGTGTTTCTAGGTTGGTGTTTATGGGTGTGTGTTTCCCAAGATGACCACAAGGTGGCGCCCTCCACCCTTAGGAACCAACCACAGGAACCTTGGGATCAGTGTGTGTGTGTGTCTATGTGTGTATGTATGTGTTTAGGCTTGTTTATGGGTGTGCAATCAGAGAGTGTGTGTGTGTGTGTTTCTAGGTTTGTATTTATGGGTGTGTGCGATATGAGAGTGTGTCTGTTTCTAGGTTTGTGTTTATGGGTGTGTGTTTCCCAAGATGTCCACAAGGTGGCGCCTTCCACCCTTAGGAACCAACCACAGGAGCGTTGTGAGGTGTGTGTGTGTCTAGGTTCATGTTTATGGGTGTGTGTTTCCCAAGATGGGCATAAGGTGGCGCCCTCCACCCTTACGAACCAACCACAGGAGCCTTGCGATCACAGTGTGTGTATGTGTATGTGTGTGTGTTTTTAGGTTTGTGTTTATGGGTCTGTGCAATCAGAGAGCGTGTTAGTGTGTATCTAGGTTTGTGTTTATGGTTGTGTGTTTCCCAAGATGGCCACAAGGTGGCGCCCTCCACTCTTAGGAACTAACCACAGGAGCCTTGCTGTGTGTGTGTGTGTGTGTGTGTGTGTGTGTTTCTAGGTTTGTGTTTATGGGTATGTGTTTCCCAAGATGGCCACAAGGTGGTGGCCTCCACCCTTAGGATGCAACCACAGGAGCCTTGTGATGTGTGTGTGTGTGTTTCTAGGTTTGCATTTATGGGTGTGTGCGATCAGAGAGAGAGAGAATGTGTGTGTGTGTGTGTGTGTGTGTGTTTCTAGGTTTGTGTTTATGGGTGTGTGTTTCCCAAGATGGCCACAAGGTGGTGCCCTCCACCATTAGGAACCGACCACAGGAGCCTTGCTATCAGAGTGTGTTTATGTGTGTGTGTTTCTAGGTTTGTGTTTATGGGTTTGTGCAATCAGAGAGAGTGTTAGTGTGTGTGTTTCTAGGTTTGTGTTTATTGGTGTGTGTTTCCCAAGATGGCCACAAGGCGGCGCCCTCCACCCTTAGGCACCAACCACGGGAGGCTTGCAATCAGTGTGTGTGTGTGTGTGTTTTTCTAGGTTTGTGTTTATGGGTGTGTGCAATCAGTGTGTGTGTGTGTTTCCAGGTTTGTGTCTATTCGTGTGTGCGATCAGAGAGTGTGTGTGTTTCTAGGTTTGTATTTATGGGTGTGTGCGATCAGAGAGATGTGTGTGTGTGTGTTTGTGTGTGTCTAGGTTTGTGTTTATGGGTGTGTGTTTCCTAAGATGTCCACAAGGCTGCGCCCTCCACCCTTGGGAACCAACCACAGGAGGCTTGCGATCAGTGTGTGTGTGTGTGTTTCTAGGTTTGTGTTTATGGGTGGGTGCAGTGTGTGGGTGTTTCCAGGTTTGTGTCTATTCATGTGGGCGATCAGAGAGTGTGTGTGTGTTTCTAGGTTTGTATTTATGGGTGTGTGCGATCAGAGAGACTGTGTGTGTGTGTGTCTCTCTCTAGGTTTGTGTTTATGGGTGTTTGTTTCCTAAGATGTCCACAAGGCTGCGCCCTCCACCCTTAGGAACCAACCACAGGAGGCTTGCGATCAGTGTGTGTGTGTGTGTGTGTGTGTGTGTGTGTGTGTGTGTCTAGGTTTGTGTTTATGGGTGGGTGCAATCAATGTGTGTGTGTTTCCAGGTTTGTGTCTATTTGTGTGTACAATCAGAGTGAGTGTGTGTGTTTCTAGGTTTGTATTTATGGGTGTTTGTTTCCTAAGATGTCCACAAGGCTGCGCCCTCCACCCTTAGGAACCAACCACAGGAGGCTTGCGATCTGTGTGTGTGTGTGTGTGTGTGTGTGTGTGTGTTTGTTTCTAGGTTTGTATTTATGGGTGTGTGTTCCCCAAGATGGCCACAAGGTGGTGCCCTCCACCATTAGGAACCGACCACAGCCTTGCGATCAGAGTATTTGTGTGTGTATTTCTAGGTTTGTGTTTATGAGTCTGTGCAATCAGAGAGAGTGTTAGTGTGTGTGTTTCTAGGTTTGTGTTTATGGGTGTGTGTTTCCTAAGATGGCCACAAGGCAGTGCCCTCCACCTTTCGGAACCACCCACAGGAGCCTTATGATCAGTGTGTGTGTGTGGGTGTTTCTAGGTTTGTGTTTATGGGTGTGTGTGATCAGAGAGAGAGTGTGTGTGTGTTTCTAGGTTTGTGTTTGTGTGTGCGATCAGAGAGACTGTGTGTGTTTCTTGGTTTGTGTTTATGGCCGTGTGTTTCCTAAGATGGCCACAAGGTTGCGCCCCACCCTTAGGAACCGACCACAGGAGCCTTGCGATCACAGTGTGTGTATGTGTGTGTGTTTCTTGGTTTCTGTTTTTGGGTGTTGCAGAGTGTGTGTGCGTGTGTGTGTGTGTTTCTAGGTTTGTGTTTATGGGTGTGTGTGATCAGAGTGTGTGTGTGTTCCTAAGTCCTGTTTATGGGTGTATGTTTTCCAAACCTGTCCACAAGGTGGCGCCCTCCACTCTTAGGAACCAACCACAGGATCATTGTGATGTGTGTGTATGTGTCTAGGTTTGTGTTTATGGGTGTGTGTTTCCCATGATGGCCACAAGGTGGCGCCCTCCACCCTTAGGAACCAACCACAGGAGCCTTGCCATCATTGTCTTGTGTGTGTGTGTTTCTAGGTTTGTGTTTGAGTGTTTCCCAAGATTGCCACAAGGAGGTGCCCTCCACCCTTAGGAACCAACCACAGGAGCCTTGCAATCACAGTGTGCAGTGTGTGTGTGTTTCTAGGTTTGTGTTTTTGGGTGTTGTGATCAGAGAGTTAGTGTGTGTTTC